ACCTCTGCGTGCATGGCTACAGAGGGAAGGCCTGGAGAGTGACCCCCTCCCGGTGACTCCGAGGTGGGCGGGCCAGGGGTTGTCCAAGGGCTGTGGGGCACCCAGGCAAGCCAAGGGAAGGCATGGGGGTGTTGTCTAATATGCTAATGAGCTGCATTGTCTGGGGTGTGGCATAATATGCTAATGCATTTCTGCTGTTGGGTGTGGCCTATTATGCTAATGAGTTCCTGATGGGCTTTTTCTACAAAAATGCCCTGGTCTTTGTCATTATCCATTTGCTGTCTCAGTCCCTCTCTGCTGGCATCTCTTCCTCCAAGGTGGGTTCTCTTCCCCCTCCTCTGTGCCGTCCCTCTTCCTCCTTCTTCCTCCAGAGTTCACTCCTTGCTCCCATCAGTCTGCCCCCCCAGCTGTCCTCTCACCTCTGTTAAATGCCTCCCCTGCTCTTGTGGGCCCCTCCCCCTCATTAGCAGGCTCTGACTGATCTGCTGCTTACAGATTTGTTGAGCTGACATTGCCACAGTGGCATTGGTTCTGCTAGGCACTTTATATATGCCCCAGTTCTGCTGGGCACTCTGTACATGCACTGGCTGTGCTAGCCTTGCAAACCCCCTTGCTTGGATTTCTTGAGCTGGCATTGGTACAAAAATGCCACCCGCCTTCAGTTTCTACTGCAAAGACTCTCTGGTTTGACATCAGTCCCTGCTTTTTTGCTATTTTTCTACCTCCATTGAAAATAAGAAAGGATGGGTAACCTTTTGGAGGGGCCTGTAGATTTGGACTCCTTGGTCCAATATTTTTGAAATTTGGGGGGTCTTTTGAGTAGAGGCTCCAGAAGCTATGCTGAAAATTTGGTGCCTCTACCTCAAAAAAGCCCTTCTCCCAGATGCCTGGGTAATACCCCTGGACAGATTCTCCATTATAGTTTATGGGGATCATTGACTATAATTGTCCCCATAGGCTATAATGGAGCCAAAGGGATTTGTTGTGGTCCCTTTAAATGTGTTCCTGAAACTGCAACTTCACCCAGAAAGGCATTTAAAGGGAGTGCACTCATTTAATTGCAACTATCCTGTTTTCCCAGATAATCCCCTTTTTTCCGGGATTATCCAGGATTAGATATGCTCAGAAATGGAAAATACACCCCCCTCTATATCCGGCTGAAAGACTAGCTGATAAACACCCATAAGGTATTTTCTGGCTATTTTTTCAGCTCACAAAGAACTGAATGCACACCACTAATCTTCAGATGCAGAACCCACCTTTAATACCCAGTTGGCAGCATGGGATCTACTGAGACTCAGAGGAAGAGAAGGAGTCAAATATGCAACCTCACTTCTGGGGAGGGAGTGTGTGTTTTTGTGCTGCAAGCACAAATGGAGAATGAGAGGAATGTCCAGGACAGGGAATGTCCAGAGCAGGCTAGAGTAAGAGAGAGAGGGCAACGGGTGGTGTCTCTGAACCTGCTTGCGCTAAAAAAATAAATAAAAAATCTTCTCCACTGCTGAGTGATCTCATCTTACTCCTCTCCACAATACAACAAAATCAACAAACATGACATCATGGAGGTTTGCAACCCGCCTGAGGGTCCCAACCCGTGGGTTGAAGACCACTGCACTAGCAGTTTAGAAGGTTCAGAGCTTGATTTGTTATAGTTTCCCTTTGAGGGAGTCACACCAAATTTGCTGGCTGAACTATGTAGGTAATATGGCACTCCTCTAAATATAAGTAGTTACCTGATAAAAGAAATTGGTTCGGCCCACAGATCCCACTTTGCCTGTGTGATTCATGAAACAAATTGTTCCTTCAGTTGCACCATACAGTTCACATATCTTAATGTCACCGAACCGGAGCAAAAATTCTTTCCAGACATCAGACCTTATTCCATTTCCAACTGCGAGGCGAACTTTGTGATGTTTTTCTCCTTCTTTCTGTAAGGAATTTTAAAAGAGCAAATAGTTAAAATGAACCCATCACTTCTTTATTTCCCCTTCCAGCCTTCTCTGAGTATCCATCTTGCTATAATTACAGAACAGGAACCAGAGCCTCATCCTGCATTATGCTCTGCTCTTCCATCCACCCATATTCAAATCTGAGGAGCTCTACCGCCTAACAGGTAAAGTTAGAGAGAGAGAAAATAGTTTATTTCATAGTGTTGGACTGGATATGACAGGGACATTATTGGTTGTTCTGTGTATCGTCATTCAATTTTTGTTTCTAGTAAAACAAATGTTGCAGGTTGTAGTACTTTAAAAATCAGCAAAACCTGTTTGATCACTGGTGATATTCGGACAAAAAGATGCATGCATACACAGAAAAGGCAAGGATGCTTTTATTATATCACTTTGAGGTCTCATAAAAACAGCTGTATAAGCTGTAAAATGTAGGTCTATTTTCATAATATTGCATTACAGCTGAATTTGCATATAAAGCTTCATTCTGTGTCTCAGTACAGGTGGACTTCATTCACTTCACCAACAATTCATTTTTTGGGCATTCAAGACAAGCTTGGCTGCATGTAAAGACATAAAGCCTGGTTCTTAAAGTATTTCAGTGGAAAGGAATCATACTCAGACACAGACACATTCTATGCAGGCAGAGTGTTCTAGGTCAAATTCCTGGCAACTTCAATTAAAAGGATGGTATGCATTGTCTGTATGAAACACAAGAGATCATATCACAAGAAATCAGAGCTAATATCTTCTACTTCATTTAAAACAAGTGGGGGGCAGGAGGGGTGACTTGAACTGAATGCTGGAATAGGGCAATTTAATTATTTCCCCATACAGCTGCAGAGAAACTGGCCTTCATGAGTATCAAGTATCTGTATTAGAGAAGACAAGAAGGGGGACCTGCAATACTTATGGGGGAGGGAGTATTCCCCACAGCTCCCGGCCTGCAGAAGCAGGAGGAGCTTCGCAGGAGGAGGAAGCGGCAGCAGGTGAGCCCAGCAGGCGAACCCATCAGGCCCGCCAAGCCTTCCCCCTTCCCCCCCCAACGGCGGTGAGGCCTGAGGTCTGCCAAGACTTCTCCCCCTTCCCCCAACACCGGCGGCAGTGAGGCCCACCAAGCCTTCTCTCTCCTCCTTCCCCACAGTGGCAGTGAGGCCTGAGGCCTGCCAAGCCTTCTCCCTCCTCCCCTCCCCCCGGCACTGGCAGTGGTGAGGCCAGAGCGGCTCACAGCCGGCCCACCTAGCCTTCTCTCCCCTTGGTGGCGGCGGCAGCAGCGAGACAGTTGCCAGGGCATTCTCTGCGCATGCGCAGGAAACGCTCTTTTACTTTTGGGGGGATTTAAGTATCCCCCGTATAGTTTTTTCAACTTTTTAGATTTTTCTGCACACCTGAGGACTGCTCCAAGTATGCAGGAAAATCTCTTTGCCCCCCAAGTGCCCCCGATGTGCGGATTTAGATATCCGCATGGAGGGGGCAACTTGGCTATTAGATATATAGATGTGTTGCCAGACTTTCCCCCCTAATTGGGAGCTGATGGATAGACAGATCTAGAAAATGGTTGAAGGAGAAGGAACTTTCCCTGCCATGCCATGATCTTGATCCAAAATGGGCTTTCCTGATGCTGTTTTTAAATGAAAATGGGTTAAGTATCAAGACATACCAAGCAAACAGTATTGAGGTATAGGGAGCTATGATTGCTATTTTAAGCATGACTCTGAACAGGTGGCATAGAAATAATGGTCTGATTTAGTTCATGGCAGCAATGCAGTTTTGATTATAATGAACAGTTAATAGTTCTGAAAATGTCTTTAAAAACTCATGAGCCCTGATTCAGCTAAAGCTTCATGTTGCTAAATTCCACTTAAAATAATGAAGCTAAAAACAGTTGAGACAAACCTGTTTGTAACAGTATGTAATCGCAGCTTCTTCTATTGCTTGTTGACCTTTTGGCTAAGATCAAGTGCAGTAATCACAACCAACTATACCTGAATCAGGCTATCATTGTGGAAACTGGTAAGCCCTTTCTCTTTGGTCCTAACTTCAACATATCTCCTGCCGCAAGATGTGTTTGAATTGTTCTGGATCACTTTACACCAGACTTCAGCAACTGTGATTCTGTAAACTGTGAGGGCTGGAAACACTGCAGCAGCTATTTTGAAATAATCTGCTCTAACTACATACTTCTGCTTATTTACAACTAAAATAGACTCCATTTGAAGTTTACTTTATTAAGGATTGCTTGCTTCATTGAAACTCAAATTAATATGTTAGCCGGCCCCCTTCAGTTCCCCTTACTGAGCTCACTGAGTACTTTGGTATTCAAATGTAAATCTTGGTAACACCAGACTAAACACAGAAACAAAGAGACTTTTATTACAACCTTTTGTTCAGTAATGAACAAAGGGAGGGGAAATTACCCAACTCAGACTGAATGGTGCATTCATAGCCTACAAAAATTGAAACTCTCTAGTGACCAATTTAGCATGCAGGTAAACTTTGTTTCCATTTTTTTACTTTTCATGGACAAAAAAATTTTTTGTTGATTCTAAATATCTCACACAGGGAGGCAGATTATTTCAAAATATCTGCTGCAGTGTTTCCAGCCTTCATAGTTGCTAAAGTCTGGTGTAAAGTGATCCAGAACAGTTCAAACACATCTTGCAGCAGGAGATAGGTTGAAGTTAGACCCAAAGAGAAAAACTTGGGATGAAGTAAGTAGAGTCCGGAAACAGGACTGCACAGCCAAGTTGCAGATTTGCAAGCATCATGATGTGTTCTGGAAATACCCTGAAGGCACCTTAATAATACCCTGGAAGTCATATAAAATGACAGCAACTGGGCAACATGGCCACTACACAAATCAAGAAATGCAGACAGAGCCAGCCACTGATATCTGGTATGGTCTATACGTATGTCAGTGTGACATGTTTCTTGTGTGAATGAGCCCAGTTATCAGACTCAGTCACACAAAATAGCCAGACACAGGAAACAAACTGCTTCTCTGCCATCTCTTACTTCTTGTCCCAGCAGAAGTTGCTAGTTTAGGTTTTAAAACTCAAAAAACCTGCACAGAAACCAACACACTATTTTAAGGAGCTTTTCACAAAGTGAAGGGACTCTTATGTGAACTTTAATTGAAGACAGATACAAGAATTCAGCAGAATAATTAAAAGTTTATTGAGAGAAACCAAGGTAAAAGCATGCAATAATAATTTTCACATATATAACAATACACAAGAATACTAAACAGTCCACATCTACTTGCTCTGTACTGCAGCATTCACACAATACTTACTGACCCTATATATCTCAGAGAGTAAAGGGGGCTAAAGAGAAGGAGAAGAAGAAGAAGAAGGAAAAACAGCAAGGAGGGTAGAAGGAGATTTTTACTTATCCCTTTCTACATTGGGATGCTGTCTGGGATGGCTTATACTATAGAGTCCAAATATCCACCCAGCAGGGCTGTAGCCAGTGGTGGGGCACATGGGGCAGTACCACCATCGAATTTCTAGCACCCCCTATTGAATTTCCGGCGCCCCTCAATCTCCCCCACCTCAATTTTAGTTCACCCCCAGGTGGTTTTCCCTTCTGCGTCAAGAAGAAAGGCTAACAAAAACAAGAACGTCTTTTGGCTAGGAAATGAAACTAAAGACTCTCCCCTTCCTTTTCTCCTCCCCACACAGTACCCGGGATGGCAGCACCCCCCCCCCGCAGGCTCCCCATGCACTCCAAGAAAAGCCAAGCACCCTCAAGCCCTGCTGCAGAGCCCGGACTGCTAGGGCATGGGCACTGGCTCCTGCTTGCAACGCCAATTGCCTCTTCCCTCCCTCGCTGCTCGTTGGGGCCAGAGTGGCAAGATCCTTGACAAGGACAGGCACAGAGCAGGCACAGGCTGGAGCTCCCAGCCGAGACCCACAAAAGAGACAGAGCGCTCAACTGCCAGCCGAAGCCTAAGGTGACAGACAGCCCTGCCTGCCCTCCAGCCAGCCAAGCTCACAGGCTTCTTCTCCCTCCTGGTGCTCAGAAGACCTGCCTGCCTGACCACAGCTCAGCCTTGTCAGCATCTGCCCCACCCCGAGCAGCAAAAGTGGCAAAATAATTCCCTATCCCTGCCATGTTTTTTGCCTGGAAAAGCTGCTGGGGAGGGGGGAGGCAGAAACCCACCCACCTCTTTCTGACTGGGCTATTCTGAGCCTGGTTGCTGGCAGGTCCCTGCAGCTGAAGGGGAAAGGAGTGCAAATGAGTGAAGAAGCCCTTAACGTCCTCTCCCTCCTTCCCAGCTGGTGGCTCCAGGTCGTGCTGGGCTGAGGGACCCAGCAAATGCTGCTGCTCTTGGGGCTGCTGCACTGGACCCCGGTGGAGAGCGAAGGAAAAGCTGAAGGATTTGATTTGATTTGATTAGCACCCCCCTGATGCCCCCTCCTGAAAAAATTCCTGGTTATGGGGCTGCCAGCCAGACCTTGGATCCATACCGATTCAAGGGTCAGAGAAGGGAATCCAGGAAGAGTTTCAGGTAATAAATCCAAGAAAGGTCCATAGGGTAGATCATAGGGAGCACGACTGAAAGTCACAGCTGACTTATGGTGACCCCAGCAAGGGGCTTTCAAGGCAAGTGAGAAGCAGAGGTGGCTGGCCGTTGCCTTCCTCCGCAGAGTCTTCCTTGGTGGTCTCCCTTCCAAGAACCGACCCTGCTTAGCTTCCGAGATCTGGTGAGACTGGGCTATACCATAGTGCCTTCCCTCCGAATGACTGTTTTACATCATGTAATTGCAGTCCACTCCTGCCATGAATTGGCTTCTCCAGTACAACAAACAGCAGTGTGCAGTATGTTCTTAGACTGCCAGGAACTCATAAAACATAGGAATGTTGTTTATGAATGTCCAAGAACCCCAAATAAAACTTTCCCAATCTTTTGGATTGTAAAATTGAATATTCTGAAGAGCTGTTATGGCTACCAAAACACAAGTTCCGGTTCATATCAAAGGTTCTCATGAAGAAGCTTACTTTGGAGAACCGGAGTATGACAAAATGCTGCTTTTTAATAAACACTCATACCCACTTTTTAATGACACTGCAGAAATTACATATATTTGTAGTTTTGCAAAAACAACAACCCACAATTCTATATGAAATATTATTTTGTTTGAACTTACCACAGGTTGTTTGCAGAGGTAACGACACAGTTCCCCAATGTATTGAATAACAGTAACATCATATTTTTTGCAATCACTCCAGAATTGACTGGCTGAAAATTTCTTCCTTAGAATACATGTTGCACCTTAAAAAAATAAAGTAACACTTGGACGATTAATATATTTGAATTTGGGTTTACTGTTATGCAATAGTTTTAAATACTAAAAAAGATTTATAATATTTAAATACATCTTAAAACATCTAACTCCATGCTACAGTATAAATCTATACCATTCTTTTTCTTCTATGAAACCACTGTCCCTAAGTTACAAGACTGTTTTGTTTATGAGAATTATCCAGCTTGTCTAATGTATAGCAAGTCCTTCAGAAGAGAACATAAGTAGATCTGAAAGGTGGCTTTCGGCTACTATGGGTTATATCTTTGTTCTGTGGTAATTAGAATTTTTAACACTCATGCTAACTAATCTAACAGAGAATATAACTATATAGCCTGTTACACTGTTTCATCTGCCACAATGCAATTCCACAACATACACTTTCCGTCAATATTATTAAAAGATTGTTCATCCTACCCAATTCAACACATCCACCAATACCAAGGAGAGAAGCTGCACTGTGGTAAAGAGGGAGAGTTACATAAATGATGTCATCAGGAGTTGCACCAAATGCCCATAATCCAGCAGCACCTTTTAGGACCTGCATGTGACTGATAACTGCTGCCTTCGGCAAACCTGAAATAGAACAGACACACACACACATACACTAAAAGGTTAAAACTGATTAATTATTGGTATCAGTGGCTAGCTTTTCACATATGTGTATCCATAGACAATGTCATCCGTGTAAATTAATGTGTTTAATGTGCTTTATAGTTCAGGGTTATTATGGAATAGCCAACCTTTATAATCTACTCTTTAAATTTAAGAAAATTGGCTTGGATCCAGTGGAGGATTTCCACCTACAGAACAGTACTTTCCCACCTCCCCCTTCCATTGCAGTCCAAAATGGTACCTGAAATGCTGTTCCTTGGAGACCTTGCCACTGGATCCAAGCCAATCCTTTCATTGTGTATACATGGCCTACAAGGTCATGTCTTAAAAGGCTGCCAGGTCTATAAGACCACAACTCATAAGGCCCTGACCCAAATTCTATCAATCACATCCCTTGTTTGGAAAGGGCTTTGCACAAGAGACAGCAAGAAACTTCATTTTTGTATTAATAACTTTGACATAGCAAGCTCAGTGGGGTAGGAAGGGAACTGGAAAAACTAGCTGAATAACAATGACTGCATTAGCATACAATCTTTGTTCACTCAACCAGTCAGCGTACCAAGGGCTGAGCTACTGGATCTCAGCAACTGATCAGAACATTTCCTGTCTACGGTTGTGAAGTGATCTGTAAGCTAGTTAACGGAGAAATGCAGCAGCTTTACACCTTTTGATCAAGTTCAAAGCCAGTTCCATGCCATACTTAGGTGGAAAGTCCCTGCTTTCATTTCTAGAGAACTGAGAAAGCTCCATTTTCATATCAGCCAGATGGCACAGAAAACTTGTGGCCCCTCTCCTCCAAAGTCCATTTTAAGAAACAATGGTGCATCTGGAGATTTTTAAAAGTGGGACTTTCCTGCTTTCTCTTCTTGCTGCAACCCACTAACCCCCTGTAATTTTGTTCCTAGGGAACAGGGGCTGACTGACCATTTACTAACTTCCAGGAAATCTCCTGCTGGGCTGCTACTCAACAAGGCCACTGCTGGCCAGAAGCAAACAGAGCCAATCCCCAACAAACCTCATGGACTGTTTGGCTCAGATCCTTTAGCAGCAGTGATAACTGACTTCAGCTCAACCATTGCCGCATCTTGTGTGACAGAGAACAATACATGAGCCCATTTTTAATGGTGCTTAGCTGAGTAGCCTTCTAACACTGGTTTTCAGCACTCCAGGGGCCACTCCATTTGGCTTGCTCCAGGGCTATTTTAGCTTTCCAATCCACTCCAGCTGGGGGACCAGCAGACCCTCAAGAACAGCATAGGGATCACAGCTGCAGTGGGAGGAGTGAATTCTTACCTCCTCTTCCAGAAACGTAAGTCTTTTTGGAACATATTTTGAGTCCAGTGGCACCTTTAAGACCAACAAAAGTTTATTCAAGGTATGAGCTTTCTTGTGCACACACACTTCCTCCGATACATTGAAACGGAAGTTAACAGTTCATATATATAGGCAGATGCCTCTACATAGGTGAACAGCAAATTAGCATACAACTTAATGAAGGTGTTTTGACATATGCAAAGACTAAACAGCAATAACTAGCTAAGTTCATATGGTCACCATTTGTTTGGATTTAATTGGGGAGGGAACAGTAAAGTAATAAGTATGTCAAAATATGAGATAGACACATAAAAGTATCCTTCTAAGAGTAATTAACTGTTGTCTGGATATACATAATCACTGGACCTAACAACATCAGCTACACCATCACAGGCCCATTCACTTGCTCATCTTTTAACACTGTATATGACATTAAATGCCAACCATGCCCTCCTGTTCCCTACATAGGGCAAACAGGACAAACCCTATGCCAGAAGATAAATGGACACAAATCTGACATCAGGAATCACAAGACTGAGAAACACTTCAGCCTTCCACGATATTCAACAGGTGACCTCAAAGTAGCTGTTTTATTGGAAAGGAACTTCAAGAACAAACAAAAACCTTCCCAGGACTTAACAGGAAACTCATTCAGCCCTTATATATGTATTCTCACCAAGAAGGGCTATGCATCCTCTGTATTTTAGTGTATTTCTTTTTTGAACTAGTATATTGGAATAGTGAATGTAACACAATGAATAATGGAATGTATTTCTCTGACGTAACACTGCACCCCACCATTAAGAAAAGGATGTTGTCAGTTAACTCCATGCTTGAAAGGAGATTAATGGAATGTAACAGAGTCCCAGTTTATTACTCTTAAAAGGATACTTCTACACATCTATTTCCTATTTTGACATATTTATTGCTTTACTGTCTCCCCCTAATTCAAACAATGATGACCGTATGACCTTAGTTTCTTATTGCTGTTTAGTGTTTGCATATGTCAAAAACATCTTCATTAGCTTGCTGCTCACCTATGTGGAGGAATCTGCCTATGTCTATGAACTGTTTACTTCCATTTCAATGTATCTGTGATTCAAACAATGTACACAAAAGCTCATACCTTGACTAAACTTTTGTTGGTCTTAAAGGTGCCCCACTGGACTCAAAATTTGTTGTAATGCTTCAGACCAGCACAGCTGCCCACCTTGACAAGTCTTTTTAATTTGTGGTTGGATACATTCCATTGAAATATAGCGCTGTGTGTGTTCTCCTGCATTCCTTTCAGTGAACATAATGAGCAAGAGGCAGCTCTGTTCTGATGGCAGCACAATTCAGCAGTGAAATTAATGCAGAAATGCTGTCAGGGAACATTTCCCAGACTGCTCATTGCCAAGCTGTAAAACAAACCAACACAACGCATAATGCTGGCATAAAAAGTATCTAAAGGATGAAGATAGATATAATATTACTTAAGCAGTGAGGCTGATTTGGAAGAATCGTCACCAATTAAAATAGACCTCTTCAGGGTTGAGCTCTGAAAAAATAGTTGTATGAAGTTGGCAGTGGATAATCCTGAATGGCTGACGCTCAAAATATCATCTCCCCCAAATCTCCTAAGCAATTCTGCACTGTAAAAAAATGCCTTTTATTATTTAATGTGTCAACCAATGAATGGATATGTGCATGCAGTTAATAGCAGAAAGCTCACCTGAAGCATGGGGGAGGGGTGAGGCAGATGGCTGACCTAGAACTTGATTTGTTGGTATGCATTGAATTGTGATGGTGGCAGGAAGTCAGGCTCATAGTGAGGCTGAAGGTGAACTCCACTGAGGGACAACCTACATGTGAAGCAAGAGATCCATAATTAGGATCCCTCTAGGGTTGCCAACCTCCAGGTGAGGGCTGGAGATCTTCCAGGATTACAACTGATCTCCAGGTAACAGAGATCAGTTCACCTGGAGAAAACAGCCTCTTTGGAAAGTAGGCTCAATGAATTTATACCCCACTTCCAAAGTCCCCCCCTTCCCAAAACCCTGCCCTCCTCAGGTTCTACCCCCAAAGTCTCCAGGTATTTCCCAATCCAGACCTGGCAACATTAGATCTATCTCTTTTAAAAACTCTGTTCAGCCTCTCTGAAGTTCAAGGAAGTGTCATGTGGGAGGGTGTTTACCTCTTTCTTCCCATGCTCTCCCCCCCCCCCATGATTTAAGCAGCTTTCCCACACAGAGAGAATTTGCAATTAGATCTGCAATTAAATCTGCAAAAGGACAAAGGCATGTATTCAACTTGTAACCATCTTTTTGCTTGTGCAGAGGCAATTACAGCTTTAAGGTGGGAGAAGCAATTTAAATCACGACTAGAGCATGGAAGGAAAAGATCATACATTTCGTTTCCCAGTTTTATACATTTGCAAAGCAGTGATGCGTTTCTTAACAGAATTTTTGATGGAAGGTGTTCGGGCCCCCCAATCTCAAACAACTCCCCACCCACAATAATACAGCATCTTATTTAAACATGCAGACTAGTATCAGAGCTTTCAACAAACCCAGATGCCAACTTTGCTGCCACATTCACCCGGACAACACAGTCACTGGATCTAACAACATCAACTACACCACCTCAGGCTTATTCACCTGCTCATCTTCTAACACTGTATATGCCATTAAGTGCCAACAGTGCCCTTCAGTTCTCTACATAGGAGAAACTGGTCAAACCCTACACCAAAGGATAAATGGATACAAATCTGACCTCAAGAGCCACAACACTGAGAAACCTGTAGGAGAACATTTCAAACTCCCAGGGGACTCGGTGGGGGACCTCAAAGTAGCTGTTTTATTTAGCTACTCTGAGGTCCCCTGTGGAGTGCCCTGGGAGGTTGAAATGTTCTCCTACAGGTTTCTCAGTTTTGTGGCTCTTGAGGTCAGATTTGTATCCATTTATCCTTTGGTGTAGGGTTTGACCTGTTTCTCCTATATAGAGAACTGAAGGGCATTGTTGACATTTGATGACAAATACAATGTTAGAAGATGAGCAGGTGAATAAGCCTGAGATGGCATAGTTGATGTTGTTAGGTTTAGTGAGTGTGTTGTCTGGGTGTATGTGGCAGCAAAGTTGGCATCAGGGTGTGTTGCAAACTCTGATACCAGTCTGCATGTTTAAATTAGATGCTGTATTATTGAAAGTGATGAGTAGTTTGAGATTGGAAAATTGTGCAGTGGAAAAGGTTCGCACCTTTCCTTATTCAAATCTTCTAGGAGGAACTCCAAATAGAAGGTCATGTCTTCTTGCAGGGGACAGTTTCCAGAGCATGGTGAGATGTCAGTTGGGGTGGTCCAAAGATTGTTGTGGGGTGCAGCCTCGCTCCAGTGTCTGCCTGTGTGACCGCCCTGGGTGCACCACACTTTGGAGCAGCTGGCACAAGAACCGTGCTTTGGACCAGGACACAATATATGTCCCCTCAAAGGAGTGAGTCCGCTGAACATGGGGGTGTATGAAGTGTGGGGGTCCAAACTTCATTTTGGGTACGGAGTGTTAGCCAAATTGTCTTGATTCTGATTGATATTTGGGGAAATTAAGGGCAATAGGCAAAATAAGGGAGCAAGCACCAGTGTAAACAGGGGTCCCACTTTTTCCCAGCTCAC